AATTACGAGTTGTTGGCCAAATGTGTCGATGGTGATGCCATTTGCAGCTTCAGTCTGTAGTCGGATTTGGGTCGTTGTGGATGTTGTTGTGAAGGTTTAATGCCTATCTAGGCTCCTGTGTTAACCAAAAACTTTGTGTACGAAATGTTATAGAAAAACGACATGGTTTGCTGAATGCTGATGTAGTGGCCTGTTGTTTTAGCGGCCGTTTGTTGTTGCTTGACATAACTCTTGTCTGTTGTTGTTTGAGGCTGGTGAATAATGTAGGTGACTAGAAGTATTGTGGCCCGAGGTTGCGCCGCCTCAGTAGTTTGACGCTTTGGTGAATTTTGTTTTGCAGTTGAATGATCTTGTGCACTTCTTCGCTTTATTCCCATACGTCCTTTGGTACCAGCAATCTACTGTTCTAGATGCAGATTTAATCTTAGTTTCTTGTTGTTGTTGCTGATGGTTGCGCATGAAAGCAAATACTTCGTCCATCTGATCTGTCAGTTCTTCAATACTTGTGTGTTGTGATTGTCGAGCTGTTGCGATTGGCTATTTTATGTATTCGATCAGCCATAGTTTCTAACCTCTGCAGTGTATCGTCTATTGAAATTGCCAACTGTATTTGTATTGTGGATGGCATTTCATCCAACCATAATTGTTTTAAAATGTCCTCATCCGTGTTATTAGCCCCCCTCCACAGGCTTTGCATGTACCTCAGCAGTTATGATGGTGTCCTGTCTTCAATAGCAACGCCTTGAAGCAACGTACGAAAATTTTCTTCATATGATGTTGAATATTATTATAACCTTCACAAATATATTTGCTAGAAATGCTAGTGTCGCTATAAATGCATACAGTTCGAGGAGGAAATAAAACCTTCTGACAGCAAAATATCTGAGACGTTCGAGGAGCGTTGGTAGAACGGGTATATAAAGACATGCGAGATATTGAATGGGTTGTTGAATATTGATATTGGAAGGCGATTGGTTGTTAGTGTCGAAAGCGATATTTAATATTTGCGTAGTATTTTGATTGTATTTGCGATGAACGTTAGTGAATTGTTATTCCGAAAGCGATAGTTTCTGAACGTTAATTTGATTGTTTGTGAACATTAACTTATATCAGTAAAATTAATTAACGTTGATTATTGAATAATTAATTTATTTATTAGTGTTTTGTAAATAAATAAATCGATAATTTGAGAGCTATATTGTTACTATTTTTCACTGAGATAAAACGAACTCGTCGTTAACCGGGACAGTTATAACATTGGTGCCAAAAATGGGATCTTCGGTGAAAAATAAGTGAGCATCATTGTTGAAATTTTTTATTTTTTTTCATCGACAAGTTACTTTGTAAAAAAAAACAGCATGACAAAATTACATCAACTTAAATTGATGTAACTCAAAGAAGAGTTACAAAAACGAATTTAAAAGTATTAAAATCGATGAAGGAAGATTTAATATCGAAACAAATTGAAATTAAAACTATATTAAATACTAATATTAGTGTAAAACAATTTAAAATTCTATGGAACGTACCTTTAAAACATGGAAAACGTAAATTTGGAAATAAATAATTAAACAATTAAACAAATAAAACTAATTGCTTAATAAAACTTTGAATAAAATAAAATATATTAAACACTCAATAATTTAATGTATTTTATTAAATTCAAAGTATTACTAGGCAATTAATTTAATGTAATAATAATAAATAATAATAATGTCATTTATGAACGCCTCATACATAGCGTCAGAGGCGGCCGGATAACAAATGTCAGCACGGCCACCAAAGGCCTGTTCAAACAGATGCTGCTTCAATCGCTTTTTAAACGTTCATATTGATGACTGTTGACGGATGATGAGTGGCAAACTGTTCCATATTGATGGTGAGCAATCTGAGAAGCCTTTATTGACGAGAGCTGATGTATTGACTGGTTGATGCAGTTGCAATGATGACGGCAGACGAAGTGATGGCGATGCTTAACAGATGAGCGAAACCAAATGAATTTGTGAAGATATAATGGTTGAGATGTGTTGAGTGTTTTATATGTGATGACAGCAATTTTATACTTAATGCGTTGATGAATCGGCAGCCAGGGCAGGTGAGCAAGAGATGTTGAACTAGAAGATAAACGAGGTAATTCTAAAACAGGTTTGGCTAATCTGTTTTGAATGATCTTAAGAGAGGGAATTAGATACGTCGGAATGCCATATAACAGAGAGTTGCAGTAGTCAAGGCGAGATAATACAAGGCAGCGTGCTAGCGTGGAGGTAATTTATTATGTTCAAAGTTTTGCTAGGCAATTAATTTTAAAGGTACGTTAAATCGTGGGCATATAAATTCACTGAAACAAACAATGTATATATATATATCTATATATATATATATATATATATATATAGAAAGAGAGAGAGAGAGAGAGAGAGAGAGAGAGAGAGAGAGAGAGAGAGTTTCTTTAATCAATGCAAAGTTCTTCAGCGAATTTTATAAGCTGGTATTGTATTCATCATTCAACAAAGAATGATAACCAACTCTTTCTTCCAAATTTATTTGACAAAAAAAAAAGTAAGGAGATCAAAAAAAGTAACTAAAGTACTTGCGAAGACCACCCATGACTAAAATCAAACAAAAAATTACAATAATAGACATTACTATTAATAATAATAATTAAGAATAATATTAAAAAAAACAGAAAATACATTCATATAATTAGTTAAATACATTTAGCAACCACGTTAATAAACAAATGCATTGCATAAAAAAAGTAAAAAAAAGTACTGTATCACACAACAAATGAAGGTCATACATAAACACAGTCAATTAGCACGCCCGTATGTCATCACAGCGACTTTTGCACATAGCTTAAATCTCTTCAAAGACAGATGTGTTTGACCATCCGTGGCCAAATCATTCCATAATTTTGGACCCCTTATTATCCAGCTACGTTGGTAGGTGGAGGTTTTAAATTTTTTAACAACATTTGACCACGTTGCCTGGTAGTTGACTGAACCCTATCAAAAAAATTTAGCTGCTCATAATCTTTATTAATAAGTATTTTATAAACAAATACCAGCGGAAAAAATTATGTAATTGTTCTATTCTAAGAAGTTGATGGTTACGAAACACGTCATCAGTATGATCGCGAAAGTTCAAAGAAAAAATTATTCGCATAAAACGTTTTTGCATCACTAAAACTTTATTGATCCAATATTTACTGGCGGATCCCCAAAACACGTTTCCATATAACAAATGTGGATAAAAAAAAGAATAATAAAGTAAGATCATTGACTTGACATTCAACCTGTCTCTCACTCTAATCAGAATCCCAACCGCACGGTACAGCCTATGGACAATCATGTCGATGTGCTCATTCCATTTCAGATCACTTTGTATAACAATTCCCAAAAATTTTACCGAATGAACCCGTGGAAGAGATATGCCCTGAATAATCAGATCCAAGCCGAGTGTCTCGTGGCCGAGTGGTTAGCGTGTCTGTCTACCACTTCCACGACACGGGTCCAAATTCTACAGTTTCTACAGGTTCATCCGGGTAGCCGATTTCCGGTCAACCCAGCCGTCCATCCTTTCGGGGTTAGTAAATGGTTGGACGACGTAAGTTGTCGCATGCTGGCCGGCGAGATGGCTCAGTGCATCTATCGGATGCAGAAAAGATATCGTTTACAAATATTATAAACAACAAAGGTCCCAATATGGAACCCTGAGGGACACCTGTTAAAATCCTTAAAGGGGATGACACAACATTGTCAATAGACTGTGATAAGAAATGTCAGTTGAACTGAGTAAAGTCTAGATTAGCAATGACCTGACACCTGAGCAGAGAAGTGAATTAAAGAAACTGGTAGCTGATGCAAAATCGAAAAAAAGCAGCATGCAAAGACAATTTTTTATACAGAGTCAGAGGTCTTGTGGGAAAATGGCGGATTGTGAAGTTCAGAAATTAACTGATGAGGGTGTTGTTGATGGTAGGGCCAGTCGGAGGATGATTCATGCTACAGCTCAAAAATTAACCATGAAAAATTACAATGATTTAAAAATTGACCTGGGGCTCCTCAACATAAGATCTATAATGTCAAAGTATGAAATGGTGTGTGATATAATTCGTGGAGAATTGGATATTAACTGAAACATGGCATGAGTCGTCAGATGAGTTTGCTGTTCGATGCGCGATGCTCCCTGGTTATAAGTATGTAGATTACGTTAAACCTCACTATCCATATCATAACGGAATTATAATTTATTTCACCAAAAAGTTCATTTATAAAACTGTTAGTTACCCGGCGTGATAACTTTTGAAGCTGTTGCAATTAAATTGAGAATAAACAAATCTGATTTTAGTTTGTTATCAATTTATAGACCTGGATCGGTTCCTCCTTCACCATCGTTCTTTTCGGAGCTAGCGAATGTTTTAGAAGTTTTATCGCTGTTAAGTGATAAAATCGTTGTTGCGGGAGATTTTAATGTTCATATGGAGAGAAAAGATGATCCAAACACAGTCTCATTGAATGATGTTTTCGATTGTTTTCAGTTGGCTAACAGAATTAACGAACCAACGCATGAATTAGGTGGTGTTTTGGACTTGATCGTTACTTCTCGCTCTTTTCCTATCTTTAATAGATTGATTTTTCCCAGTGGAGTGTTATCAGATCATGGATTAATCCAGGTTTGTTTGTCAATCAATCAAGTTATAGGTACGAGAAATAAAAAAATGGTTCGATCCTGGTGACGCATAAATGAAGAAAATTTCGCAATTTTAATTTCGAAATCCTCAATTGGAGGGCCATGCCAAGATGATAATATAGAAACGCTGTTAGAGATTTTTATGAATGAACTGAGGAGAATTGCAGACATAATAGCTCCAGAACACGTGGTTGAAAGTCAAGATGATTCGTTGACGCCGTGGTTTGATGGAGATTGTTCAAAGTCCAAGGCATACTGTAGAAAAATGGAAAAAAAAAGTACAGAAAGACTTTAAAGCATCACGATAGGGAGGTGTGGAAAAATGCTTTGCGATCAAAAAATATTTTATTCGCCCAGAAAAAAAATTTGGTTTGGAAAAAAATCATTTTTGAAAATAACAAAAATCCTAAAAAAAATTTGGACTGTGGTAAATAAACTGTTGTGCAAAGAAAAAACTTCAAATTCATTTACCAATTTTGAAGCGAACGATTTTCCTACATTCTTTTATGACAAAATTAAAAATGTACGAGAATCGATGGTGTATGATGAGAAGTTTGATCATTTACTTGGCGTCTGCTGCAGCAACTTGTTTTCAGTTTTTCCTGTTTATGATGAAAGCGAAATTGTTGAAGCAGATTTGAACTCTCCATCTAAAATATTTTCACTGGATTGTATTCCTTCACACTTTTTCCAAAAATATGTAGGATTATTTTCAAAATATTTGACTGATTTTATAAACTTATGTTTACGTACTGGTGAGTTTTCGGCTATGTTAAGTATGCTACAATTTCTCCTCTTTTGAAAAAGGAAAAATTAGACAATTCTTATCTTAATAATTATAGACCGGTTTCAAATCTGTCGTTCTTGTCAAAATTAATTGAAAGATTAGTTTCTAAGGAGCTTATGAAACACTTAGATAAAAACAATTTGTTACCTGTATATCAGTCAGGTTATAGAAGACATCATTCTACCGAAACTGCTTTGTTGCATGTGTTATCTAAGTTGCATGAAAATATAAACAACAATAAACCATTTCTTCTTGGATTCTTAGACATGAGTTCGGCATTTGACTGTGTCGACCATTGCACTCTTCTGAAACGTCTTAATCATAGATTTGGAATAACTGGTTCTGTCGAACAATGGTTTCGGTCGTGCTTAACAAATAGAACTCAGCAGGTAATCTACAAGAATATGACCTCTTCGGTTCAAACGATAAGATTTGGTGTTCCACAGGGCTCGGTTTTCGGACCAATCTTGTTTATTCTTTACACCTCTGAAACTATTGAGACGATCGGATTACATGGTTTGGAGTGTCATGCATTTGCAGATGATATTCAGCTTTTTGCCACAGAATCCTATAGCAACTTTCATCTTGCAGTTGATCGTTTTGTTAAATGTTTGGTCGAGATCGAGAAATGGATGGCAAATAATCGTCTTAAGCTCAATCAAAGTAAGACGCAAATTCTTCTGGTTGGAACTTGGCAACAGCTGTCTAGAATTAAAATCAATTCATTATCATTGAGGCTCAAATATAAACTTCATTCCCAAAGCTACAAACTTGGGTTTCATTTTTGATTCTAGACTGGCAATGACTGAACATATCAAGTTTTTATCTGGTACTGCAACCCTACAACTGCGAAAATTAAAAGTAATCCGCAAAAGCTTAATCAAAAATGTTATTCAAAGTTTAGTGCATTCGTCTATTCATTCTAGACTGGATTACTGTAACATCCTATTTTATGGTTTGCCTGAAAAATCGTTATCTGTGCTTCAGTCAATTCAGAAATCATGGTTGGTGCAAAAAAGTTTGACCATGTTACCCCGATATTCAGAGAACTACACTGGTTGGTGGTCAAAAAAAGAATTTTGTTCAAAATATTAACAATCATGTTCAAGTGTATAAAGAGAATGGCGCCAGTCTATTTGAAAGAAATGCATGCACCGAAACAACTGCCTTTTAAAACTGTCTGCTTAAGGTCTGATAATAGCAACTTGTTATGTGTGCCCCAAACCAACTTGAATAAACTATAACTTATTTCACTAATTATTCAATTTCATCTTCATTAAAAGGCAACGTTTTGCTTTTAATGTAACTCTTCAAATTATTTATTCATATATTACTGTGTGTGTGTATGTGTGTGTGTGTGTGTGTGTGTGTGTGTGTGTGTGTGTGTGGTGTGTGTGTGTGTGTGTTTCTGAGTATGTGGACCAGCAATTTGGAATAGTCTACCAAGTTATCTAAGACAGCCCGAACTGACAGAAAAATTGCTCAAGAAATTATTGAAATCATTTTTGTTTTCATTATAAGATTTGGTTTATCGTAGCAATTCAACTGTTTTTTTAGACAGTGCTTTTGAGAAAATTTTGTTTGTAATTAGCGCTATACAAATTTTCGAATAATAATAATAATACTATCCGTTCAACTAAATACAATAAAATACAATAAAACTGCATACCTCGTGCAAATTCCACACATACACTCGTTTTATCTTGCAAACATTTTTTACTTACCGCCGTATTATTTTAAATTACTCTAGTTGTTTCACGTAAATATGTATCTATTTATTTATTTTAAAATTAAACTATAACTTATTTCACTAATTATTCAATTTCATCTTCATTAAAAGGCAACGTTTTGCTTTTAATGTAACTCTTCAAATTATTTATTCATATATTACTGTGTGTGTGTATGTGTGTGTGTGTGTGTGTGTGTGTGGTGTGTGTGTGTGTGTGTGTGTGGTGTGTGTGTGTGTGTGTGTTGGTAATAGACCATAATTTTTACAATATTCTATAAATTCTACCGAATGTTTGGCGTTAATATGTTTGTAGTTCGTTTTTTCGATTTTTTTGGAGAACGTTTAGTTTATTAAAATTCAAAATAAACTTATTTTCCGAATAAGGCCATATTTCGATTCCGAATGAATCATCGTCAGTGCAATTTGTACAGGAAGATATATATGGAAATTAGGTGTCAGATTTTTTTATTGGCTGGTCCATCTTCGTTGGCTTCCTTTTCTTCATCGATAGCATCATATTTTTGTTGTCATTATTTACAATGCTAGTTTTTATTACTTCTTTGTTTTCATTGTTGATTAAGCACCGGGTTGGGAGTGAGCTTGTCATTTTTTTTTTGTATATTCATTTTTGGTTTATTGATGTCAATTAGGACTGCTTTTACAATTTTAAGATACGTGTAGTTGGTGTTCTGGTATATTACTTTGATGTTGCTGTCGAGGATTTCACGGCTATAGTGATTGAGTGTGTTGAGTCCAAATGAGATTTAATAGCACTACTCTGTTTATCCATCGTACGACTTCTAGTCAGTGAGGTAGTAGTAATCCCGATATATGATCATGTTGACGTGCACAGCCGTCAAAGGGGCAATTAAATTCATATATTACGTGATTACGCTTTAACACAGAGTTATCTCTAGGACTACAATTGTTTTTGATGATATATATATATATATATATATATATATATGTGTGTGTGTGTGTGTGTGTGTGTTTGTGTGTGTGTAATTTGTGTGAGTGTGTGTTTGTGTGTATGTGTGTATGTGTGTGTGTGTGTGTGTGTGGTGTGTGTGTGTGTGTTTAAAATAAATATGCACATTTTTAAAAACCATTGTTTTTTTTGCTAAATAAGCGATTTATAAAAAAAGTTTAAAAATAATGAATTTACAATTACTGAAAAACAATTTTGCAAAATAAGATAGCCAAATTAGTAATGTAGAAAATAAAATAAAAAATTTGTATAGACCTGTGAAGAATTCAATACATTTTAAAATCTAAGGAAAAAACTGTTTATATGCCTATTAAATGCACAAACGTTCACATAAAAACTAAAATAACAATAAAATGAATAATTTATCTTATTGCTGCTGAAAATGAAGATAACGAAGAAAACAGTTGCTTCTTAGGTTGGATTGAAAGCTTGGAACCTTTTGTTTTCAACGGTGTCCAACATTTTTTTTCGTATGAATAAGTTTCGAAGCATCGCCATATTAGCAACGCTTCATCTCCACCAACAGTTACTGTTGTGTTTCAATAGTTTTATGTGAATATGTTATATTAATTTTTTAATCAATTAATTTTCTTATTTATTCATTGTTTTGTATAAGTTATTTAATTAAACTTTAAAAAAAGGCTAGTCAGAATATTTTCTATAATTTTTGAAATATTTACATAATTTAAATAACTAAAATTCAGTAGAACGTTATTTTTATAAAATCTGTTTGTACGATTTATATTTATAATTATTCAATTCATTGGCAAAATATTCTAATTCTAAAGGACATACATAACGTTGATCCATTCAGTCCAATGCCAACATAAAGAACAACATCCCTATGCCCAACTAATCTGAAAACCTTAAACATATGGTAAATGTATATTTGAATATAAAATTAAATTTTAATTATGAAACTAACCAGATCCATAGATGGAT